TTTTTTTCAAACTAGAAGCATGAAATATTGTAGCAATTAGATGGTTTGTGAATTCAAAAATTGTACGTCAGGAGTTTACGCATGTATTTGGAACTGTCTTTGAGTTTATTGAAGATAAATACTATTAGAATCTTTGAAAAATGATTCGGCTAAGCTTTTTTTAATGTAAATCATAATAGAAATTCAGCGAGCCATTGAGTTCGTGAAGGTTTCTACTTTTTTCTCCAACTAATCTTTAGTTGAAATCGGGTGTGTATGAGAAAAACAAGTTCAACAGAATAAAATATGATTGGCCATTAAAAAATTGCTCTTTTGACTGTTGACTTTTCTTTGCTCTGGTAATGGAAAGTAGGTCTGTGATCATTGTAATTGCTACCAGGAGTTTAAAATCTTATTGACGTTATACTATCTCGGGAGAAAGGAATGATTTTCTTTTATATAGAAAATTCGAGCGAAATTTAAAAATATTCTTATTCGAGATCTTTTCCTCGTAGAACTTTGGACCCGGAGTTCTTCTGTATTTAAGTTTTCATGAAAAATGACAAAATAAAAGGGCTGGTGAAGTGCATGTTATTGGTGAAGCATAGCATTTTATTTCTTCTGTGAAATGACTGCTGGAACTTTTTCAGGGCCTACATTCGCGATAATTACTCACGAGTATCCTGAACTTCTTGATCCGTTAGTGACTGTGTGTGATGTGTTTGCTCGAATGGCACCGGACCAAAAACAGCAGCTCATCAATTGTCTTCAAGAAGTTGGTTATACGGTGGCAATGTGCGGCGATGGTGCAAACGACTGTGCAGCTTTGAAGGTAACTGTTAGGGTAATTGCTGATTTTTGTACTCATGATTTGTCTCTTAGGCGGCCCATGCGGGTATCTCGCTTTCTGACGCTGAAGCATCTATCGCAGCGCCGTTTACTTCAAAGGTTATCATTTTACTAATGCCTTCTTTAACTCTTGCTTGTTAATCAGTTGATGTAATTCCTTTTAGCTGTACCTACCAAACCTTTCAAACTTTCCGCCAGTATCAAGTTTT